GACAAACGTGATTCTATCCTTCTTCAATAAATAACATAGAAAAAAATAGAACGACACTCACATCGATTGTGTCTCCTAAAAGGAAAACAGTCTTAATCAAGTCCCGTCAAGTTTGCAAGTCGAGCGTCAATCGATATCTTCGATCTATGATACTCGAGCTCCAAAAGACGAATCTTCCACAGAGACGTGGAATATTGCGCCGTCGAAAACGAAACGGTTCATCGAAGATGCTCCCGGAGATGCTATCACGGAGATAGAAAGAAAAAGTGCGCAACGCGGGCGCGATGCTCGACATAAATTTCCGGGAAAACTCCGGGATGGCGGCTCAGTGACGGGTGCGAAAGTAGTTCCGCTTTTCGCTTCTTTGAAAGACACGCGCGATCTCGCGCGACCTATATTTCGAAGCTCCACGAGGTCGTCACATAATCGAGCGGACGGAAAAGCATTCTCGCGAAATCTCACGTGGTGCGTTGTACCGCAACTCCGCCAACGTAATCCCTGAATAATAATGCGAACGATTCTAATTAGACGCTTAAGATCTTCTAGTATCGGGGATTTAGAAATTTAATCTATACGATCGTTCAATAAACAATCTTTGAGAGTACTTGGATATTTACAGCGCAGACAATGATATACTTCATAATAATTGCACAATGAATCACTAAAACTCGCGCACGATTTGCTTTCCAGTTATCTTTCAATATCGCACAGAGGAGGATCACTTTAAGAAGGAGGAAAAGAAGGCAAAGCTTCTGAAGGAAACAATACCGTTCTACCTGAATAAGTTCGAGCAAACTGTTGCTGAGAATGGTGGTTACGCAGTCGGTTCTACGGTAAAGAGAAACCTCTCTAACGATCTTGCCTTTACGAGAGTCTATTTAATTAAGTATATATTAAAGCAAACTAAATTATGTGCAGAGGAATATAAAATAAGTGAAAATAAAATATTATTTGCTATCCTGTTCGACGCTCTCGTCGTTAAAATTGAAATAGAGTGATATAGGAGCTCGAACGCATTGAACGGACGTCGAGTATCGCGTATCCAGGACTTTTAATTAAAATAGTTCTTTATGCGGTATCACGATAAATAAAAAAAATTTCGTTTCGATAAATTGCCCCGTTGCTTTGCAGACCACGTGGGCGGACTTCGTATTCACCGTGGCGTTGGAGAACTTTGAGAACATTTTCGGCGCGACTGCCTTAGAGAATTATCCGGCGTTACGTGGCTTGAAAAAACGGGTACATGAAATTTCAACGATCGCCGACTGGCTATCACGACGACCTCATTCAGAATTTTGAAATGTCGATTCAACGACGGAAACCGGAAGGCAACATCGACGGCATCAAAAACAAGTACATATCTGACACTTGCAGCTCACTATTCTGTATCGCTGTAACGGCGATCGATATTAATCGCAGTGTAATAAACGATGCGCTTTGTGTCCATTTCCACACAACACAGTTATAGGAGAGGACATTTCTTCGAAAATTGTGTTGTGTGGAACGCAACTTTATTTGAGCTATTTATATTTGAATAAATTTCTCTAAATTTAAAATGAATATTTTTTTTAATTAAGTTCTCTAAATCTTTTTAATTTCGATATTAAATTATTTAGTTTGTCATAATTTATTTTGTGTAAATATATATTTATTTAAAAAATGACAATGTTATACGTCACAAAGTCAACTTTTAAGTGACATTTTATTATCAGTCACATGAAATAATACATTAATTTAAAAACGCAGAAAAAATTAATATTATTTATATATCACTGGTCAGACAGAAGAAATGCACGATTTCGCTTATTGTTACTACAAAAAAAAAGAGAGCCATTGTTTTGACTTTAATTAGATTAATTTCGTCCCATGTGCGAGTATTACATGAACTTATTATACATATCGTTGATCGATCCCCAAACCGTTTATAACACTCGTTTTCGTTAACAAATTATATGAAAAATGTGCGTAAGATTACTGTCGAATGGATGTCTAGGGTCAAATGAAGCTTGATCAATGTGTTCATTTATCGCGCGTCGCGTGCGTAGTATGGCATAAGTGATGCATTGTTACAATGCGACTTCTGTTGCTATCACTGAAAAAAAAAACATCGAGAAATGCGACAAGCGTGATATCCCGGATGTCTCATATTTCGTTATTTCTTTTTTTACAGACAGATCCAAGTCGAATGAGCAAACATAAATGAACCACTCGCTTCAATAAAGACGGTGCCGGCGACATCCCTGGTGAAAATAAAAATCGAGGTCGAATGTATAAGAAGAAAGTAACAGAAGCGTGAATGAAGTTTCCAGGAGGCGAAAATTGAGACAACGAAACGTAAAAGAGGCATTTACGCTTCTTTTATGTTTTGTGGTCTCAATTTTTGCCTCCAGAAGCTTCGTTTATGTTCCTGTTATTCTCCTTTTACGTTCAACTCATATTCCAATTTTTATTTTCGTCAGAGATAACAGATCATTCGTTTGTGCTTGCTCAAGTCTGGGTTTGTTTGTTCAAATCCATTTTTATACTGCTGCATTGATAATATTAGTGGTTGCGATAATATTGTGATCTGGTTTACACAAAATCTCGATACTTAATTCATAGAGTGTCATCCCTACTTGTTTTGCACGAAATATGTCCAGGCAGAGTTGAACGCGGTTGTAATACACAGGGTAAATTAAATGAAGAACAAGAAGATGTTTTGAACTAATGAATGTAGCGTTGTAAATGCATACAATTCTACATGCGTATTTTATGTACAAAATTTTGCAGCCAGCAAAGGAAAATACAAGAAGTGCAACAAAATAGAATGCAGTCAATAAGATTGATTGCAACGAAGATTTAAAGGTAATTTGTAACATCGTCATGCTTTTATCAATAAGGCGACATCTTTATAAATGTACTATATATCCAGACAACACAGAATATTTATGATAAATATTTATTAATATTCTTTTTTTGAAATGTTATATAGATATTTTATACATATTTTTCATACATATTTTATATAAAGCTTTATTCGAAATATTATTAAAATATAGACTAAATATTTTACGTAATATTTATGATGAATATAAATAAATACTTTTAATAAGTACTTTTTACTTGAATTATAATGTCTCATTAAGTATTTTCATAGTATTTATTATGACATTTACAATAATTTATTTCATAATATTTATAATAAATGTTTGTCTGTGCGATCTAAGACCACAAAAATATTTACAAAATATTAAAAATAAATTTTATAAATATTGTGTGCTGTCTGGATACATAAGATCTAGCTCGATGTATTTCATAAGATCATCATGTTTGAATGAGATAATAAATGAGAAGAAGAGAGATGCGCTTGTAAAATATATCTTGCCATTAGAACGGGAGCAACGGAAATAATGGTAGACTTTTTAATGTGCTACGATGAAGATGATAAAAAGCTTTGTTCTTTCGTCAATGCTTATAAAGATATGCCAGCAGGTACGGCAATATAGTCAATTGTAATTATCAAACGAGTTTTTAGGAGAGAGAACTGGCTGCATGTATGTTGCAATGTATATGTTACGATGCGACATTATATATGTAATGTTAAGTGTACTATTAAGTGTTGAGATTACAGATGATGTAATATAAATGTTATTGCGATTACATAAGGAACAGTATGACTGATAATAATAATGTGATGCAAACAATTAAGAGTTCAATTGATCTTATGTCACATATATTAATACCGTCTCATTCATAAAGTATAAAAAGTATGAAAAATTTATGTGCATGCACTTACCACTTGATTGAATCATGAAATATGCTTGTATCAAGGTATTCATTTTCTTCACGATTGAATTATTTTATTTCAAGATTCAGAGCAGTTGCGGTAATTATCGATCGATAATTACAAAGAAATCTGGAACAAAAATTAGTAAAAAGAATTATTACAGAATTATTCTTTACTTATAATTTGATTAAAATTATAATTATATTCGAGAATTCTTTAGCAATAAAATTTCTTATATAATATTCTACATATATTTTCGCTTTTATACATGCATTTCCATTTTTCTTTTATTTTAAAGTTTGGATCGATTATCCTGGAAAAAAATATGTTATATGTAATTATATAAAATTATATAAAATTATATATAATTTTATATATTTGTATATAAATGGATATTTCATATGTTATTATATATGTATAATTCCAACCATATATAATTTTGTTATTTAACATATTTTTTAGATGAGTTTTATAAATATCTAAAAATGATACTGAATTATGTATAATTCTATATAATTATATACAATTGTATATAAAATAAATATTCATTTATATACAATTATATAAAATTATATATATTTTTACATAATTTGATATAATTATATATAAAATATTTTTTCCGGGATAATAATTATCTATATCTTTAATTATACAAAAATATAATGACTACCCATATCCTTGATCATATGAAACAAAAAATGAGTAAAAATCAGATCGGAGTTATTATATATTTTTTACTTAATTTAATTTTGAAAATCGTAATTCAAGAATACAATTTTTCTTCAGTAATACAATTTTTCTTCCAATTTATTTCCGTGTTCATATCATATACTTCTATAAAAAAGTGATTCATGCGGTATCTCCATTTTCCTTTTATCTCAAGATTTAGATCGATTATGATGATTACCCCCGCTATTAATTACAAAGAAGTTTAAAACAAAAAATGAATAAAATGAGTTAGCGATTATCGTATATAATCTTTGTTTAGTTTAATACAAAACTACGGTGTTAAACAATTGTTTAGTAATACATTTTCTTACGTGATATTCCGTATTTTCGCGTCCGTGCACGCAGTGTCCGCTCCATTTTCTTTTTACCATCGACTCGAGAAATCGATACCTCGAATCGAATGACGTTGCGACATCGATAAAACGAGAATTAGTTATCGAAAGTCACACACCGTTAAGGTTAGGTTATCGTTAGGTTATTTCATCGCGCATATGTACACTTCACAATTACGCGTTAAAATCACTGGAAAGTTTCGCACCGAGGCGTTTCTCATAATCAGTGACTCCGATCGCAAATGAAAAGTTCTCCCGACGGAGTGCTGCTGTAAAGAAAACATGGCGACAGCGAAGACGGTACTACCCGAGGAGAGTGAGCTAACCGTTCAGGAGCTGAACGTCAGCTGGCCGGTGTTGCAAACCGCGTCCGTTTATATCGGCAAGGCCTGTGAATGGTATAACAATGTGAGTTGTAACTTCATTCAGTAGTTGGATAATCACGCTGATACCCTACACTGTTCGTCATGCATCGAGCCATTCCTCTTCGAGGAATTACATAATGCTCCAAGTCCCTGTAATGATATATGACATGTATACACGTCTTTGTAAATAATAATATATCTTTAATATTGATTGTAAATAATAACATATTTTTAATTAAACAATAATTTGTATTCATCTGAGGCAGCACATAAATTAAAACAGTTTATAAGATAAGTTAGGACTGATTGTTTCACTTTTGAATAAACTATGTGATAATTTATCTAATGGACAAAAGAAAAAATAAAAAAGAGAAAAAAGGACAAGAGTAAATTACAATTGATTAAAAGACAACAATATAGAACAATCCAACCTTAGTCTTTTAATTAAATCATAAAGTGTTTTATAATCATAATTAATTGGTTTCAGTAACATCCTTATAATTATTAACTATTGTAAAATTAATACTAACGTAAAATTTTGTATAAATGATGATGTAAGAAACTTCTTATATCATGAAATAAATGCTAATTAAATCGGATTTTATAACATCAGTTGTAAGACCGGATTTAATTAATGTTTACATTTTATGTTAGTAGTATTAACTACTAACATAAAATGTAAACATTAATTATAACCATGGATATTATTAAATCCGTTTAATAGCAACGTATAAATGTAGTTAATATTATTATTAATATTACATTTAGATTGTTTTCTCGTCTAGTGTGAGTAAAACGAATGTGATGTACAAATACAAGGAATTTATTTCATGAAGATTTGTAAATAAGAATTATATATTTTAATCTAGTACTTTTGAAGATACATACTAAATATAAGTCGCCTTCTAATTGCAAGAAATTTATTTCTAACACAAATAAACAAGATAGAATTTATTTCTTTTTCAGGAATTTTTGTTGTGCAGACAAGAAGAGCGCGACCCACGTCGCTGTCTCAACGAAGGAAAAGCCGTGACATCTTGCACATTGGATATTCTTAAAAAGATGAAAAAACACTGCTTAGAGGATTTTAATGCTTACATGTACTGCCTTGAGAGATCAACGGGGACATTGGAATTTACTCCGTATGTCATTTTATATTTTCGTTAATTCTTCATCTGATACTGATGGCAATGGAACAGTGATGTGAATAATATGAATATTGCTTAGATGCCGAAAAACGCAAGCTGCCTTGGATAATTGTGTTCGTCAGAATTTGAATATAGAACGTCCACCCTATGGATATTTTTGCGAGGCTAAAGTGCATAACACATCGAGGCCACGGCCGGAACCAGAAAAGCCTATAACATTTCCAGATCCATCTCCTGGACTGCCATCCGATGTACCACATGAGAAATCGAAATACTCCAATCGCATGTGGTTTAAATCTTAAATCTCTCAACAGATATCGCTATAGTACTTTGGTCATGCTGTAAAAATTATATTTTCAAGACTCGGGACACATCAGATATCTAGATTATTATAGAGAAATGAGTATAATTATATGTTCTGTGAATATAAACATATTAATAGCAATTTAGTGATAATTTGCTTGATTATTGTTGTTACAGCTTGTATAAATATAAATACGAAGCATGTAAAATATACTTTTTGTTTGTCCATCTTAATCGTACATAACATTTAATGTCATAACACCTATATATTAAGTAGTAAAAAGAAATCCATTATTTTTTCCAATAGATGGCTTTAATAATCTGTATCACGCGTACGAGATACAGATTACTAAAGCCATCTATTGGAAAAATAATGGATTTCTTTTTACTACACCTAATATGTATATTATTTATATATTAAAACATAAAAATTGAAATTGAAGCTCTAAAAAATATTTTAGTACGGTAAAAATAAGTTAAAAATCAGTTTAGATTAAGAGATCATAGAATAAAGTTAAGAAATATAGCTCATGGATAGTGAGATAAATAATATAGATGCACAGTTTGATTGGGTTCTTCGAAAAAATTATATACTTCATTTGTCATACGTCACAACTTCATAACAAAATTTTTAAAAGCCGTACGAGCAAAAATATATCAACACATTATCGTTTTCAGATATCGGAAGATACGTGATAATAATTAATTAAGAATATTGCTTTATCGATATTACTACGGCATTTTATGTACATGAGATACAATCAGCTTTAGCAATTATTTAAATATACTAAACGATAAATGTAATCTTTAGAAACGCAGATATACAAAATACATGATATATATACTGTAAACGAATTATAATTCATTTACGCATAAATCACGTATATATAAACTTATAAATATGTGTGACACATTTCTTTACGAAAGAGTATGTTTAAAACCGATTAGGAACCGATGAGGAATGTAACACCGGCATCTACTTATTCTATGGAGCATAGCCGTATGCTGCTGACATAAATACAGATTTCACTGTTGATTCATCGCAATTGTTACCTAATCTGTTGAATATCAAAGAAGAATTGCACGCGATATTCTTGTGCAATTTACAAGTCTTTATAGAGCATAATCATGTGTTAGCTCCATGTTATATCATAACCGCTCCAATTTGCACTTGGTGCTAAATGCACGCGTCTTCCATTATAAAAAAACGTCACCACACCACGGTATCCTGATCTTGGCACACCGCTCTGTAATACACATTTTTTAAAATAATACAATTTAAAATGTATTAACAAGAATCTTAATGAAAAGAATATATTACCCTGAAATCGTCCATTAAACCAAGCAATTTGGTAATATTTTTAAACGATTGACGAGTGTAATATGGTATTCGTACTGGACCAGGGGCAACAATATTCCCACTTTTCAATTCGGAATAGCTAACCACTGTCGACTGATACACTTGGTTGACGAAAGCTATATCGTAATTATCCTGGAAGTAAACATAACAATTATAAATATACTTTGAATTCAGTAGATATTTATTTGCCAATTGCATCTCATGTTTGTTCTCTTACTTTTAATAAATAGGATAGATTCATCTTGGTGAAAGGCACAAATTGTTCATTTAGCTTGATGTACTTCAGATGTTTTTCAAAGAATAAGCCGCTAGAAGTAACAAGACAAATTTTTATACCGATTTAATTTACTCAAATTATTTATTTTTAATTTTTTTTATCAGTCTCTTTAACATTCCTCTGCAGTATTTTTAAAATGCAGTATTATAAAAATAATATATAAATAAAAAATATGGATAAAAAGAAGTACTTGCTAACTCCAAGTTTGCCGAATGTTCTGGTTCGTGAGATTTCCGGGCGGATGCAAGCTCTATTCTTACGCTGTTCCGGCTGCCTTATCCAGTCATCCCAGTATCTACAACAGATATATCATTATTAAAACCGCAAATATTATAGATAGATAATAAATCAAGCTACATTAGCTTACATTAAAATATAAAATTACGCTTACGATTTGGGCCATTTAGGTGCAAGCTCCAACCATAAATCGCGCGTGAGCATCCAACCTAAGCCAGGAAAGAAATCTGTCCTATACAATAAATGTGACGCATGTTCGTCTACCAAGCCGGCTTTACCATTATCATTCCACGCAGATACACACCATAGAGAGCTATCATTTACTAGTAAGGGATAAGTCCCCAGGAAGTATTCATAAAAGTCTGGAGCGATGTCCAAGTCGTCTGTATAAAAATTAGAAGCAATCTTAATTAAATCTTTAATTAATCTTTAATCCTGTAGAAATGTGTCGCACTCATTATAATAGTTATGCAAAGATTTGACTACACTATCGTACCTTCAACTATAATTGCAGTATTATATCCAAGCTTTAGAAATACTTGATTTAACGCCCATTTATAGTGACGTGCGATTTTGAAGTATCCCCTGAATTTCTTTTCTTTAGGTGGTATTTCAATATCGGACTGATCAGGTTGCTGAAATATGAGCATAAAGATTGTAATACCATTCGTCATAAGAATACAAGTGAAAGTATAATCTCTTTAAAATTGAAAGAAATCAAGAATACGCTTTCTTAAATAATAGACATAGTGATACAAACAAATTATTTTCAATGTATAGTAATACCTTTAAATGTAACAGCTGGTTTCCATATTTTGCTATGACATCAGCAGTTTGTCGATGATCACAGTCTTGCGATACAACTATTGGGAATTGTTCTTTACTAGGTCTTAATTTAATTAATTGGTTTAGACATCGCTCTACTGTAATACGATTACAAGAAACGACCAAAATAGCTATTATAGGAGATCCGTCAGGAAGCTTTTGTCTCAAAGGAATACTGTGTGTTGCCTCAGTCTACCGAGAAATTGCAAAATTAAGAATGTGTAACAGTTGTGATTAAATAAAAACAATTTAATATGTTGAATAAATAATTGAAACTGATAGAAACGATTAAGTAAAATTGTTACATAGATTAATATATTACAGATAAGACAACTTCCTGTGTCGGGCTTTGTTCATCTTTAGACATCTTCCATTTATTTTTGTTTTCGATTTTTTGCAATAATATACTCTTATTCTTATTGACTTCATGTTTTTTGTTTTTTTTCTCCGCATCACCTATTGACAACTGGGCATTTAATCTATCATATTCTTCTAAAATGACAAATTATTATATTTAATTTATCTATTTTTTTCAAATGTATGTATATATAAACTCTTAAACTCATCTTACTTTTAAGACGTTTGCTTTCGTTGATTCCTTCTAGAAGTTCCTGGTTTATAATTATCTGCTGTTTTACTTGCTTCTCCAATCTACTGATTTGATTTGATAGTTTGTCCTTTTCCTAAAGGCAAGTGTACGATAATTACAATCTTATTTTTCTATATGGTGTATTATACAAGCTCACCTTATCTTGATCCTTGCCGACTGATTGTTGATCCAAAAATAAAAAGTATGTAGCCACAGCCCATAAGATAAGGGACCCAAAGATAATACTGATTGATCTATTCCGCATGACAAAACCAAGTGTCACCTTAACTGTAACAAGAATACACTGCAAACAGAAAGGTACGCGAGGCGTATACTTGCAGTGAACAAAATGAACAGATACTAACAGGATTTCCACACGTCGCAGTGCACGTCAGTACATATTTATTACACATGGATTCCTAAACGTGTTAGCCAAGTTTCGTTTCTTCTGGAAAATTGCAACAACTGTTAAAACACATTAGGCCTGTTTTTTTTATTTGAACTTCTTGCCGTTCATCTTTTTTTTCTTTTTTTTTACTCCAGAAGGAAACATGCAAGAAATTCAGTTGAAAAGAACAGACCTACTAGTATCCCCGGTACATTGTCAGCTTGGAGGCGTTACTTACAGACATCATATCCTCGATACAGAGACCTTCATAATCACAAGTCATATGGAAGGGTCATATTCCATATCGTTCGTATGAGTCATGGCAAGTAACATTGTTTACATCACACATTGATCAACGTGGACGCAACATAAATAATGGACTAGGCTACGTTATTGCAGGCAGGAGAGAGTAATTTTAGCGATGTTTGACGACGACGATGGTGCGCAAATCGTGCTGAAAACAGGATGTTCTTAGAAGTGGACGTTGACGTTCCACGACGACGATGAATCTGCGTCGAATCTGCGGACGCGGCAGACGTCGGCGAGATTCTGCGAGCACACGGTATCGGGTTACTCACCATTATGACATGGGAAACGACAGGGTGCTTTTTCACGTGGACCAAAGTTGAGATCCTGGTGTATGATCAAGCTACGCGAGATCGTCACGGTTTATTTTCACGCGGCGGTCCGGAAGTCGAGTCGAGGAAGAAACAGCCGGAAGATATTGACAATGCTCACGCTAGCGGTCCGAGATGAACCACTGGAACAGCTCATGAGTTCCACACTACTCACAGCTGTCAGCGTATGCAGCCGTCGTGGAGATCTTTACCTTACGAGCGAGACCACTCTACTGTAGCGGCGGTGCTCGGTAATTCGGTAATTCGCTCCCGAATCGCGTCAAGGCGATAATCGTCAAGATAATGCTCGCGTGAGATAGCTGGAGATAGCATTGTTCCTTATCATTCTCTATCCACCCACATCCACCGTCCGGTTTATCCAAATTTCGCTGACGTAATAATCTGTATATAGATATGTATATTATAAGATATGTTTTTTATTGAACTAGTGTACACTTTTGGAACTTAAAATGAAATAAGTATATATGTGTTTGATACTTGGCTAAAGTAAGAAAAAATGTTTAGTAGGTATTAAAAACAATTATTATTACGATTCCTATCTGAATCGCAGGAAGAGAGTGCATGTACATTTTTAAACAAGAAAATGGAAGAAAGAGAGAAAGAGAGAGGGAGAGAAAGAGAGAGAGATAAAAAATAATACCCTCTCTTAATTTTTTTATACTCGATAAATAAAATATTAAATAAAATAAAAATATTTTAATAAAATATCATATTAATATATATAAATTTTATTTATACTAGAACATAAAATAATTAAATTTTCTTAAAGAATTAACAATTAATTAAAAAAAGGGATAATGCGTCTGGTAAATTGATAAGTGAATGTAATTATAGAAACAATTGTGTTTTCAAATTAAATAATTTTTAAATTCTCATTAATATAATTTTATAAATATAAAATTTTAATTAATTGCGCGACCAGAAGTTTTACGGCAAAAGAAGCACATATGCACGTATAGTAAGCATATATGATGTACGTAATTCTTATATTATTATGAATTATGATAACCCGCCATGACACTTGAACGATATCAAAATTATCAATCATAACGAATATGGAACGAGACTCTCGAGAGACCATAAGATAAGATACTATTAATATTAAAGTAACATTAGTTCATTTCGTAATCGAATGTCCCAAAATATCAATCCTGAAAGAGAATTATCAAGTACCCTTGATTTCTTCACTGTTCCCGATATAACTTATCGACGATTTCCCAACCCAGGACGAACGTAATCCGTTCGAATCGTCTCCGGAACTCACCATTGAGGGCGTTGCGCAGCGCGCATTGTTTATATATATTATCATCGTCGACCATCGGACCGTCTTCGACGGCACATCGGGATCGGGCACGTCGCAGTGTGTCAGTGAAGCGTCCTGGTGTGTACTTGGATGTGGTACTGATCCGTTCGGCCAGCCATTGACGTCAAGTAACGTTGAACGTTTCACCGTCGTGAGAAAGATTCCCGAAATAAGACGATTCTACGACCTGGAGAAAGGAGTAACGGGGAGGAAAGGGGAAGTGGCGCATCCCTCGCGAGGCGAAAGTGAACAGAAAGGGAGAGAGAGAATGCGTGACGTGACGAGTCTCACGTCCGCTGCGTGATCAGCCGCGTGACATGAGAGGCGCACACACCGACAATAATAATTCAACTGCCAGGACGGCGACGAGGGAGGGTGCGAGGGAGTGAATAATGTACTGCATTGAAGTTTACTCGTTCAAGTCTGGCGTTTACTTCTTCGCGGTAAACGACAGCAGCCCACCCAGGAACTGACAGCTCTTTCTGACAGCTTTTGCAGGAGGGACGCGGTGAGGGCCCTGAGCACCGGTGAGGTATCCACTGCATTGAGGCCGTTTTACTTTACTGTTCATCCCGATCTGTTCGGCCAGTATCCTACACAGAGGGTAAGGATCCATTTCAAATGCTATTCGGAGTGAATGTTATATGATATGATTGAGATAAATGGTTTCATCAAGTAACTTTATGGATTCTTTGTGTATTTACTTTAACACAGATATCTGTGTGTCCTATTTGTTTCATATCTTCCATATTTTTTTCTGTCTGCAGGTCTCCTGTGAATGTGCATTTAAATCAATCCTTTCAATCCTTCCGTCAATGTATAGGCAATGTGCAGTAATTATTTTAAAAATAGTAAATTTTAGATACATTGAATTTTAAACAGCATAAATTTTTATACATTTTTGCGAATTTCGTTATATGACACTTTCAAAAATTCCATCTTTCAAATAATAAAAAATAGTTTTATTTTATTTTTACTTTTACATTGTAAGGAAACCTTGTGAAATATGCGAAAATGTGGAAAATTATGCATTGACAGAAGAGTGAAAATATATAAAATGTAGAGTACAATCAGTCTCACTACAAATACTTTGAATATAAATAGTTTGATTGATCAATCAGATCCAAGTAGAACAACAAGTCGCAATAAATGTCAAAATGACATTAAAATGAATCGAAAATGATTGAAATATAACTTTTAATGATCATTTTGATATCATAATAATTTGTTGTTTTGCTTGGGGAAGAAATTTTACCAATTGACCGTTTAAAAAATGCTTTAAAATATCTGTAGCATCATGTTAACTGTATAAAATAAAATACATCACAGAAACAACCGAGATACAGATCATACAATTTCACAAGAATTTAGAAAGTTCCTGAACTGTATTTACAACCTTAGAGAGAGAGGAAAGGAGTAAAGATAACGGCGGCAAGAAATATAAAAGGAAAAGACTAGAGTATGTTTACGCACCGCGAGTTATATTTTTATTTATTTTGTTTTCTTTCCATCGCGAGAGTCACGTCGACTACTCGTTTCTCATCAAGGACACGTAAGATGCACGTATTGTCAAAGCGCCACACAAAGCAATCGGTAGCGTAGCGTAGTCATTGTAGCGTGATAGCGAGCCCAAGCTAATGCGGTGAACGGCATTATTTTTAGACGTGCGAAAACTTGTTGCCTCGTTCATAAAGGAATAATACAGCAATCTCTGGACGTGCGTATACAAGTTTACTCGAATCAGAATAAATTTCCTGTCATCACAAAGTCTGCTCGTATTGTTTGAAAATCCGCAAAATTCTTGCATTTAAAAGGAGACACTTATGAAGAATAATAAAAGAAGAATAATTAGAGACAAGATCGCCATATAGGCGCCTCCAGATATGGCCAACTTTGCACTTATTCGCTAAATATTCACTACATTCAATGTATAATTATGCATGTCATGTATATGTATGATATGTTGGCGATATCATCTGGAGGTGCCTTATGAATAAATTAACCAATACTCGGTTTCTATCAATGCAGTTTAATTTTGATTTCGGTTCGACTAATTCTGCGTCTTTTTCTAATTCTGTTGGACTTTCTATAATAAGCCATTACGTAAGAAATTAACCAATCGATTATTCTTCTCACATTCGACTACGATTGGTCAATTTCCTGTGGCTTAAGATTTAATGCCTAAATTCTAAGCTAAGAATCGTAAAGCTCGTAACATATTCCTGTAAGACTTGTAAGAATTTTTAAATGCTTATACCTTTATACAATATTTTTATAGATAGCTTCTTACTAGCTATAAAATTTGTAAGAAATCGTAGATATTTACGAATAATCGTATGTCTTATACGATATATAAATTTAGAATATTAGTCATAAGTTCTTACATGTTTACGAGAATATGTTACGGGTCTTACGATTCTACTTAGAATTGACTCATTAAAGTAATGGCTTATTGTAGAAATCCCGGAAGAATTAAAACTAGAAGAGATTAAAGTTAATCTACATCGGTAGAAACGGACTTGAGTATGACAGAAGCTATTTACGGTTAAAAATAATTATTTAAATATGCCTATATGTATAATATTTAAATAAATTTATATTTTAAATATGTATATGGCTGCGCGCTGATTATTTTTTAGACTTAAAACACAATCAAATTGAAATAATAAAAATCCTCCCCAATAGGAGATAAATATATATATATACTCCCTGTATATTCGGGCGTTAAAGAGAGAGAAAGCAAAAATGTTGAAAAATTATAAGTAATGTGGATAGACTTTAGTCAGATATTTGCGTCATTTATCAGTAAGATTATTGTTTGTCACGAGCAGAGCATTAAGATAATCATGCTGTAGCCACAGAAACGTGTAGCATTCAGCATTTCAGATCCGCTTGTCTGAGAAAGGAAGAAAGGAATGGCCGGCAAGTTTCTTTTTTCTTTTGAGAAGTCTATTTTCTGATTTGCGTATTATCGTGTATTATCGTGACACACACAACACATACATTTGCTTATAGGAAAACAGATTGAATTGAGAACAAAATTAACATATCGTTTATTTAAGTTTATTATAATTGGAAAGTATTTAAATAAATATATTTGCAATATGTATATTTGACAAATTAATAATAAAATTAGAAATAAAATTATAATTATTGTGCATTTATTGAATGTATATTTGATATTTATAAAATACGGACTATTTTAACAACTTCAATTTTTCTAAATCAATGAAATCGATATCGTATCTCGTTTTGCATCAACGATATTAAAAATTGAACAATTAATCAATAAAGCGGCCCTGCGCGTATGTGTTTGATTAATACATGTGTTCGTTACTTAAGACTCGCTTATAAACATTTTTAAGTGTGATAATTTAATTTAACAGATCATTAACCGCAAGATCGATAAAAAAAAGCGTTGTGCATTATTTTTTTTATTAACCCGTAAAGGAACACATTTTTTGTGATGCTAAAGAAACATACAGGTCTTTGGAACCTAAAGTTTTTTGTTATTAGTTTTTTTTTTTTTTTGGAGAATTTTTCAAGTTGTTTGTCAATGTATATTTTTAAAATCTATAAGACTGTTTGAAAAACAAATTAAATTATTAATAAACAGTCAATAGGAAATAGAGCCATTACGATTGAAGCTGGATCTTTGGTGCTTAAATTATTTGGTGAGAATTTATTTCGTTCATCTTACTCAACAGATGAGTGATCAC